GGTGCTATTAATCTGGGTGTTTTCTCAGGCCAGCCTGGGATCTGTTCTTATCCATGTTTCTTCTTAGATTCTTCCAAGCGCAGGTACAGCTGATTTGTCACTGTTTAGATAATAATCTTGTTTGTTGTTTGTTCTTGTCCTGGATTGATTAATGAAATGTGGCTTTTATCAGTGCTCAGTGTCTTGATGGCACCCCTTTCATCCGTGTAATGGGAAGCGTGCGGTCTTGAAATATAACCATTTCATGTATTTTGCTTCCCCCTCGTCTGCCTTTAAATATCTTTAACTATCTTGCATCTTCTCTTTGGCCTGATATGTAAGCATTTTTTAAAAAATTTATGCTCAGAGCCCAAAAATCAGTGAATGAAATTAATTGTCTACACTTGGAGGGTTTGGGGGACGGGGGGGAGGGGGATGTTGTGTAATTCATGTGTGCTATCACAGCAGCAAAAATCAGAGAAACTTGCATTCAAGGGACCTATGGTTTGAAAGTAAGAGAACCGAGGGGAGGCATGTGTCCTCCCACGAGATATTAGATACGCAGGGACCTACAGAGGATGGAGCAGACTTTCACTGAGGAATCTGATCCGAGCTCCTCCTGATGCAGGAGGTTAAACATTAAGGTTTCATCTCCAGAGTTTCTAAATTAGCTTGTATGGATCCTTCATATCCAGGGAGATCTTTTAAAAACCTGCCCAAAGTTCACTCGAACCGCAGTTTATAATATCCAGTAATAGTTTGGGGATACGGGGAGAGTAACTCAGTTTAGGGGGACTCCCTGGATTCAGCCTTTTCAAACGCCGGGTTCAAGCTGAAGCGATCCCCTGTGCAAATTTCAGGGACTTAATGAGGGGATTTTTCATATTATTTAATTCATTTTCTCCCACATGCTTCTCTCCTACCCCCTCCACATAGGTCGTGCTGCAGGTTTTCAAAGATTAGCCTTGCTAACTCTTTAACTTTCTGGTATATATTTTTTTTTCTTTTTAAAAATAAATAAATGAGGAAATAAAAAAGGTGGGTTAAGACAAGTCTAGCTACTATGATGACTTGTGTCAGCGTTTTGCATTTTTGAGCCTTTTTGGATATATTCTCTGCGGAATGGAATGGAAGTCTGTGTTTGGAGTTCAAGGGGAACTTCAGTCAATAATGGAAATTGCTGCTGCTCAGGAATTCATTTGTAAAATATTAAAAAAAAATTATATAAAATCCATTTGTAAATGGATTGAAGAGAGTATCCATTTTCTTAAAAGGTGGCAATATGGGATGTTTTTTTCCTAGGGTCTAGGAATTGATTTGTACACATTAGCCCATGAACATGGCATTTATTTAAAGAGTAAATTTTCCATTGTGGTAGGACTACTGGATCTGAGCTGCAAAGAACCAGAGGACAGCAAAGGTGTAGAAATCTCCTTGCTGCCGCCTGGTGGCTGTTCCGAGCCTTGCAGTCCAGATTGGATAATCCTATTCCACTGTATCTTTTGTCGCGTCTTGTTTTTTAAACTTCGCTCCTTATGTTTTATCTGCCATTCTTCCATAAAAGTCACATAGAAAATTCTGGCATGTGTATATATGTATGTAATAATAAGCTTATCGATATATTTTCCACTCTTCTGATCTTTCCAGTTCTAGAATTTCCATTCTAATCTTCTCTTTGAATCTTCCCACACTTCACTTTGATTTGTAAATGAAAGAAAAATGGCTTTGAAGTTTGTCTTTATATTAAAAATGTATGTATTTTAATACACTGTACTAAATGTGGTGCTTCCATTCATTTTAAAGTTGGCTTGGGATTTTAAAAAAAAATCTCAAACGCAGGTCGCTATATTATGAATTGTTTGCCATGAAATACAGTTGTGGCCGTGAGTTTGTGCTCTAATTGCTAAGCAATCTAATGAGGAAGACCAGATCTAGCAATTATATAAACATAAAATATAAACGTCTTCCACAGCCTTATGTGACTTTTGACCAGGGTCAAATAATATCAGAGAGCCATCACTGATATTCTGTTTCCTGGAAATGATGGCATCAGCATGCTGAACTGGAGAAGGTATTGCAGAAACTATTAACGTACAGAATGCCATACCTTAGAGCAGGGGTGAGGAATTAGGGCCCTTTTATGACTTGTGGACTTCAACCCTGGCTCAGGAATTCTGGGAGTTGAAGTCCGCAAGCCATAGTTCCCCACCTCTGCCTTAGAGCATGAATGGTGAGCTTTTTGGGTTCGGTGTGTCAAAAATTTGTAAAATACTACCTTGGCTCTACTGGCGTGTAACACATACATGCACACATACACAAATGGACAAAAGGGGCCTCTCCGGATCTCCTCTCCAGATCATTTGGAAGTTGTATGCAAAGACTTACATGCAGGGGTGAAATCCACTTACCTTTGCTACTGGTTTAGTAGCAATATGAGCACGCGCACCACATGAACAGAGTGTCAAATAATATCCAGGCGGGTGGGCAAAGCCTGCTACTAAGCGCACCTGCAAAGGTAAGCGAACAGTGGGGGGGTGGAGATCTGTTGTGCCACACGATTTAGATTAGCTAGAAAGCAGGAAATCCTGCTTTCTAGCTAATATAAATCGTGCAGCACAGCTGATCGTCAAAAAAACCGGATCGTCCGAACCAGCAGCATTTTTTTTACTACCAGTTCGGGTGAACAACTGGCATCTTTGCTACCGATTCGGGCAAACCGGTAGCATTTTACCCCTGCTTACATGGTTTATGGATACCTCAGAGGCTGCATGAGAGCAAGACCATTTCATGTGACTTGCAGAGGGTCTGGAGGCCTGGCATGTCACCTGTGACACGTGTCATTATTTATATCCTGCCCTTATTTCTTTTTTAACAAACAACGCAAGGTGGTGACCATATCCAATTCTCCCTCTTCCTCCCATTTCCCACACAACAGCAATCCTGTGAGGTAAGTCTGGATGAGAGAGAATGACTGGCCCAAGGTCAACTAGCTGGCTTTCATGGCTAAGGCAGGGCTAGAACTCACACTCACAGGGGTTATCAAAGAAAGTGTCAGAGAAATATGTTTTGTCTTGAGAATAGGTAGTTAAATAAATAACTGGAACAGAAAGCATGAACCATGCTTTATAAACCACACAATCTGCTACATCACAAAGAAGCAAACTGGTTTTGACTTAATGTTTTGCCAAACTCGGACATGTGTTTCTGGCTTGACCGCTTGGTTGATAAGACTAGACAGCCACTTGTCAGAAATGGGTCTCCTGCTTTTGAGCAGGGGGTTGGAGTAGATGACCTACAGGGTCTCTTTCCCACCCTGATATTCTATATAAGGTTCTGACAGATTATATCATCCCAGAGTTCTGAAGGAGCTGGAAGATGTTATCTCAGAACCATTGTACCATATCTTTCAATTACAGCATTTCCCATCTAATTTTTCAATATGTATGGGTGCCATTCACTAGACCTAAGCAGGTTTCTTTCCTAAATATTTACCTATCCTAAAGGACAAGTAGATAATAAGTCACTAAATAAAGGGTTTGCTGAAAGCCCAACGTACTTACTACTAAATACTTTTAACACGAGTGGCAGAGCAGCAGAAAATGAAAGCAGGTAAATAAGGCAAAATAACCAAACCCATCCATGGAAAAGTAATTGCTCTTTTATTATACAGAGATGGAATGGTAGGGGAAGAGAAGGGAGATTTGAGGGTACAGTACATCATGAATTTCTAATGGCTCTAAACACTTTTCTAAATAACCACAGGCATTCTATATGAGAAGCGGTTTCCCCATTTTCTTGATAAAAATTAAGAAAACTTTCAAAATGCCTGAAGAAATTTCACAGCAGATTTTAAAATACATTCAGCTGCCAGTTCCCAAAGTTGGACAAGAAAGATACTGGAAGAAGCGACAGAAAGGCCGAGTAACACCAAGAATGTGGTGGATAAAAGGAGACATTTTTTTACAAACACCAGACAATTCAGGAGTGCATCTTCACAGCTGCTATGAACCACTACACTCGTCACCCATAATCTAAACACTAAGCATGTAAGAGTTTGAAAAGAGGCTCCATCTTCCCTTTTTATTCTTGCAGGAAATAATTACTACTGACTGTAAGGGCTGCCAGCGATGCCCAACGATCTTATTTGCCACCTCAAAGGCTGAAAATCTGTTAAATCGTTTGTTTCAGATCAGTAAATCCCGCTCTACCTATTTTGAGCACTGATTAGTTGCCGTGTCCATTTGCCAGGCAACAGTTCCACTTAAAACACTTCACATCTAGAATAAGTTAAAGGCTGCCTATCCATTTTGTGTCTGGGAGAAATTGCTGGCCTTGGTACCCTGTTTCCCCCAAAATAAGACCTCCCCAGATAATAAGCCCAATCGAGCTTTTGAGTGCATGCGCTAAAATAAGCCCTCCCCGAAAATGTTGCCACACAGCAGCAGCCATGAAGTGACCACGCTCATCGCCTCCTGTACCTCAAAAATTATAAGATCTCCCCAAAAATAAGGCCAAGTGCTTATTTTGGGGAAACACGTTAAGTTTCATGATGGATTGCAATCTGTCTCCTGAAGAGACAGATACCGTATCTGATCTGTTCTTCCAATCTGACTCAAATGCTTAATTAGACCCAATGCTGGGAGATGGTAGGAAGACCATCTGACAAAGGTTTGGGAGGATTTGGGAGTGTTGAACACTGCAGAGCTGGGGTACCTATTAAATTCATCTCTGCTGATGGACAACACATTCTGCCATCTGTCACTAAAACCTCATTGCCTTGCCAAAGGGGATTGGAAAGAGAATTAAAACCGAGGCCTTCCAAATGTGAAGCTCCCTCTCCCCATTTCCTTTATTTTTACAACTTGTTCTTTGTACCTGTACATAAGAGAGGCAGAACTGATTCAATTAACCCACAAAACTGATCCTCCTTATCAATAATCTTCATTGTAGCTGTGGCTATCGGTAGTCGCAAAACCGAGATCACAAAGGAGCAGAAGAAATACAGCGTGTGTGGACAGTGGTTTTTTTTTAAAAAAAGAAAACATTCCCTTCCCCTCCCTTAAGTTCGTAAAAAAAATAGAGAATTAACTCTGTCGACATTTCAGCCGTGGAGTTCCTGGGTTCACCTTACGTGGATTAAAGCTTCCGTGCCCGCAGCTGGAAACGGGCTTCCTCTGAGATGCCATATTGCTCCAAGGGGTCCTGCATCCAAGGAAGGAAGGAAGGTTGACAGTTTGTTCCATCAAGTTATTTGTGTTCTCTTCTACGCTGGTTAAAACGGCCAGCTACCTACATTCTCCTGGCCTTATGTTACACTGAGGTCATCTGTATCTCCGCCCAAGTTAGCAGATGCCTTGGCTTGGTGTTGAACAGCATGACACGTTGCCTTTTGCTCTGGTTCCTCATCGGAGAATTGTAACTCAAGACTTTAAGCATTAGATGCTTCTAAGATTTCAGCTTGATTGATCCCCTGTCTTTTGAATTCCCGAGTTAAGTATCCTATTTCCACAAAAATAAGACCTCCCTGGATAATAAGCCCAATCTGGCTTTTGAGTGCATGCCAGTAATGGGATTTAGCCAGTTCGCACCTATTCAGAAGAACTGGTTGTTAATTTTCTAAGCAGTTTGGAGAACCGGTTGTTGGAAGAAATTTCATTTTGTTCTTTTCCACTTTACAGGGCTAATCCTGTAAGTAAGTAAGTAAGTATCCTGTAAGGAAGGCAGGAAGGAAACATTCTGGTGTTGTTTCTAGCCTAATCCTTATTGCCCTGCTTACAGAAACTGTCTCTCCGGTTAACCCTTATGACATTGTAACAGCTAATGTGAC